AAACAAAGTAGTTTCGCTTTCATAACGAAGCACACAGCGTCTTCAGGACATGGCGGCAGCTGCAACAACAATACTACTGTGAGAATAAAAGTTACGCTTTTTTTCTATGCGTGAACATTTGGGCGGCGTTATACAAATCTTCCCACATAGTAAGGTAGATATGTGGGGGCGTGTTAGAACGAGCCGTTTTAGGTAGGCGTGGTTCCCCTTGCCAAAGCAGCAAGTTTAGTTAAAGATGGCGTCAATATTGCCATATCAATTTGAGCCGGATTCAGACCCAGAGAATATTGAACAAGAGGATCGCGCAGAACCTTTGCACGCACAGATATAGCAAGACATATTAGAGTGGTAACGTTATTGCTTTTCAACAACCGCTTAAAAATAACTGCATTTACTATGTACAGATAAGTGCATATGTATTATTTTTATTGTTATTTAATTCTAACATGAATTGCAGTGAAACTGTTATACAGTTGAATTTATTTCTACCATAGTCCAGTGTTTCCCAGCCGGCATATATATGCAAACTCATTCTCTGCCAGCAGGAGGCGCTATGGGGGTGGTAGAGATCAAGGTTTCCCCGGTAATAGCTGTACACAAAGCGCTCGAAAAAACACTGCTTTATCAGACATTACATGCAAGATTAAATGAAAATGACATCCAATTTTCTGAAGACAGTCGTTTTCCTTCAGAAATACAGTGATATAAAAACACCCACACTCAATGTATGGGAAACACTGTAGTCTCATAATTGAAGTGTCAATTCTGCAGATTACATCATTGTCCAGTATTGTACTGTCAGCAATTTATTATAAAAAAAATTTCATAATTGTAACATACATATTTACATACATAATTATTCAGGTGCATATGTAATAGCTTGAGTCTACAGCACCACTTCTTCTTCGTTGTCGTCTTGTCTGATGCACTCACTCAACCAAGTTTTCTAACCACGACCTCCAACCATTCGAATTTCCGTAGGCAGGAATTATTTTAATGATATTCTAATGGGCCGCTTTGTGACATCACAAAACCCGGAAAACAAACGCTGTAGTCCAAACGAGCCGTTTGTTGTAGTTCTTGAATATTTTTTTTTTTAAACAAAATATCTCCTTTTGGAGTGGACTTTGAGATTTGTAAGTTTGAAGATTTTTTTATGCCCAAACATACACACTGACTAAAATTCAAAAAGGGAAAAAGCATAATAGGACCCCTTTAAACTATGCATACATACATGATGCTGTTTTGTTTATAGTTGTTTAAGCAACAATTAATTATAATTGATTTATAAACATTATTTTAAACATTATGCACTTTTTTCACAGATAGTCATGTTATTTTATTGGTTTGAATAAACGTGCATTAGTAATATTTTGCTCGATGTGCCCTCTTGTGGCCTCAGGAGAAAAGCCAAAAGCTTTTTTTCACCCTAACTGAAATTATGCATTTTAAATTCGAATATAATTTTTCAGCCATTTCGACAGCCCTAGTACCTACTGTAGACCAAGACTAGACTCAGATTCAGAACAAGATCAATCCAGAAACCAGGATGCACATTTTAAAGAAGTGAAATAAAGAAAATTTTTAATTAATTTCCACATTAATGTGAAAACACCCAATCAAGTCTTTTATCTTGTCAGTAAAAAATTAAACACACACTGTAAACTAAAAAAACTAAAAAAATAAAATATAAAATTCAAGACTCTACGATTATTTAAACGTTTGGAGTCTTTTTTTAAGAAATTAATACTTTTATTCAGTATGTATGCATTGAACTGGTCAAAAGTGACAGTAAAGACACTTATAACGTTACAAAAGATTTCTATTTCCGAAAAATAAAAAATAAATATATCAAACAATCCACAAAAAATGAAGCAGCACAACTGTTTTCAACATTGATAATAATAATAATAATAATAATACATTTTTCTTGAGAAGCAAATCATCATATCAGAATGATTTCTGAAGGATCATGTGACACTGAAGACTGGAGTAATGATGCTGAAAATTTAGGAATAAATTACATTGTAAAATATATTCAAATGGAAAATGGAACTTATTAGTTCAACTCTTATTTTAAATAGTAATAATAATATTACTGATTTTACTGTATTTTTAATCAAATAAATGCAGCCTTGGTGAGAATAAGAGAGATACATTTTTCAAAAACATTCACAAATCTCACCAACCCCAAACATTTGAATAGTCTATATTTTTTTACATTTAGCTTTTTTACATTTTTTGTATTACATTTTAAGTATGCTTATGTTTTAACTG